GTTTCTGGCCTTTTTCAGCCAGGAGCTGAGCCAACATATCCTTCATCTGAAGAAGTGTTTCTTGTTGCGCTTAGAGTATGACGTGATGTTCATCCGCTCTTTTGGCTAGGTCTTCGGGGTTTCCTGTCATGTAAGCAGAAACCTCTTGCGCTCCGACAGAGCTTGAAGATTGAGATTCGGCTATTACCGAATGTTCATCACTTGACGTAATCCCCTTGGCTAACTTTTGATAGTCAACCGAACGGATAGCTCCTGTCCGAGTCCGAGTGTGTCGATATACTCCCTCGAACTCATCACAAATTTCTCGAACAGTCAGGGAATGACTTCTTTGTGACTCATCAGAATCGGGATGCGAGGCTTTTCCTCTGCCGATCATGTTGATAGTAACCTCGGGATATTCGATTTCAGGGGTCTTCTTTTTGTGGCGACGTTGTCGTTTAGCAGGTCTAATGACATTCGTCAATCTGTTGAACACGGATTGCCTAGGCGTAGGTGAACAACAGCTGCATTCGGAGAGGACGGCGGAAATAAGCCGCTCACATTGGCATGAATGAGCCACTTGCTGTGTTGACCTTCCTCTCGACAGTAGCTCACGTAAGTCAGAGACTTGGGAAGAATCTCGTGAGGGTGGAGATGGAACCCCCTGCCCCTGGGTGGGTTGGACATGAACCTTAAACCCATGCCGACTCTTTTGAACTCGACGGACCATGTCGTGTTCTTGAGAAGACACATGAGAGTCGCGTTTAGGTTTATAAACACGAGTCTGAGGTCTGTGTTTAACTGATAAAACAGACCTCTGTGGGTCGTGTTTTGATTGAACGAACACTTGTGGTGTGCGTTTTGATGTTGAAACAGACCCCTGAGGGTCTTGATTTGGATGAACGCACACTTGTGGTGTGTGTTTGGTTGATTGAACAGACCCCTGAGGGTCGTGTTTTGATTGAACGCACACTTGTGGTGTGCGTTTAGTGGACTGAACAGACCCCTGAGGGTCGTGTTTTGATTGAACGCACACTTGTGGTGTGCGTTTAGATGATTGAACGTGCGTTTGAAGATCACATTTTGAGACGCACTCTTGAGGTGTGCGTCTAGATTGAACAACGCACCACTGAGGGTCGCGTTTAAGTTGGTTTTGAGACGCACTCTTGAGGTGTGCGTCTAGATTGAACAACGCACCACTGAGGGTCGCGTTTAAGTTGGATTACCCGAGGTTCATAATCGGCACCACTGAGGGTCGCGTTTAAGTTGGATTACCCGAGGTTCATAATCGGGTTCATTGCCACGAAGTGTACGTTCTGGAGCGGAAGCGCATGGTTCGAGCAAAGGTCCAGAAACTCAATCTTCGCGTTGGGTAATAGCTCGGCTATTCCGCAAGTATGCTCGGCGTATAGATCTTCTCCTTCGTTGAGCGACGTTTTTCTTAGCTTGTTTCAACGCCTTGGTCGCAACGTCGTCGATGTTGGTTGGATGTTCCTCCATCATAGGTCTCTTACAACCTATTACACGCTGTGTTGATACGGGTGTAGAATCCTCAACTAGCAGAGCGAGTTTAAGATCTTGGCCAAAGGAGAGGGATTTCTTCGGCGTCTCAGCAGTAGTTACGACCTCCTTAGAGATCTTGCGGGTATCACGTCTAGCTTTAGGGCTAAACGACCCAGAGGAGAGAGCCTCCTTGTACTTGGCTTGGTCGAACTCTACGATGAGAGTTTCGACGGTGGTTCCCGTGAGGTGAACGTCAGATTGCGCCACCACTTCTTCATCAGAGAAGCTAGTCCCCAGCAGAGTCGCCATCTTTTGTTTGTGAAAAATTTACAGCAAAAGAAATAAAAGAAAAATTGATTTGTATTCTCTCAAAATCAATTACAATTTGGATTCCGATTACAAAGAGAGGAGAATGAATTTGATTCTCCCCTTTGTTTAAAGCTGGGTTCTTTTTGGTAGTGATGGAGTGCCTCCTTCAATTGCTTGCGTCGAACTTGCTCTCCGTTGACGATCCGACCGTACTATCTCACGAGAACGATTGACTTGTATGATGAATTCGGTTTAGAACTCTTAACAAGTTTAATAAACTCAGAACGAGTTGAAAACTCTGAAAGGAGTTGTTGAAAACCGAATAATCGATTAGTGTAATGAACTTGCATTACAAGTTTAATTAAGAACTCTTAACGAGTTTACGAACTCAGAGCGAGTTGAAACTCTGTAACCGAGTTGTTAGAACCGAAAATTCGGTTAATAGCCGAGTAGACCCGCTGTTGGTGAAGAGATTCTCCGAAATTTGACTAACTGACTGCTGATCAGTTCCTCGATCTTCAGAAAACTCCCCCTCTTAGCCCAACGTCAAGTGGTTTTGATCTCCAAATCTCCAACCCTGTGCGGTTTAGATGCTAAAACCGATCAACCCCTTACTCAGTTGAGTAATGCGGTTATTTATAGGGGGATAAGGGGTGTAACCAACCCCTAAATCGGCTCCTATGTGGGCGAGAATCCCTCAGAACGTGGGATAAATGGTTGTTACGCCGTTCAACATGTGTTTGAACAAGTCAAACGCCTAACTTGGCGTTCTGGCCCTTAACTCTGCGCCTAAGGCTTGAGACGCAGAGTTAAATCTCTACTAGAGATTTAAAACGCACAGGCCGCACAGGCTGCTTGTGTGCTGAATCTCAACTCTGCGTCTTGAGTTTGAGATGCAGGGTTGAGTGTTTGCTGAAGAACGCACAGTCTGTACGTTTTGTGTTTTAACTCTGCGTTGCAGAGTTGAATGTCAACTAGAGAACGCACAGTTCGTATGCGTTTTGAGTTTGGGAAACGCAGAGGTGGACTCTGCGTTTGGGAGAGGTTGTTGACTTGTAACATCATCCATTACAACATCACAAAGGCTACTGCTCATTGATCTTTGCTTGTTATGGGGTGTGAAAGTCGTCAGATTGTAACTCTCACGGTTGATTATGAAGGCTACTGAATAGAGTTTTCATCAGCTGTCAGAAGTGTCGTTGATTTGTAACCCTTCTTGATCTATGTGAAAAGTCCTCTGTTTGTAGCTCTCGTTTGTTGGCATGAAAGTTATCTGACTGTAACTTTCATTGTTGAAGCTTGATGGGGATCAGCTATCCATTGTGACTTTCAGACAGCCTACACGAATATTTGCCCACAGCTCTCTACCAAGCAACTCACCGACCAAGTTCAACCTTTTATTTCTGAAATCATTATACTGCTCATCGGCACCTCTAATAGTTGCTAATATAATATTAGTCATGTTATTGTCACAGCCATCAAGATCAATCATCTCAAATATGAGGTTGTGTTTATAGCGATTGTAGAGTTGCGGATGCAGTGATTTGAAAATTACTTGTGTTTCGATTGTAACTTCCATTTTGGGGCTTAATGGGGATCAGCTATCCATTGTGATTTTTAGACAGCCTACAAACAAGTGGGACGTTTGGTTTGGTTAGTGTCGGCTCAATTTTAGGAAAACTTCGCCGAGGTAGAGAATTGTAGAAACGGCGAAAACATTGGAGAAGAACAGGATTTTTGGAGCAAGCAGAGCTTTGGGTGCTTGTCAGTAGACCGCGAGCTTTGGGGCGGTCGACCGCGATGCTTGTCAGGGAGTTTTTTGGACTTGGTGATGGTCGACCGTCGCGGTTGACAGCCAAACCCTGTAATCGGTATTAGGTTTCTGTCTTTCTGGTCGGTCGACCGCGATGATTTCTACGGTCGACCGCCAGGCCCAGATTTGGTTTTTCCTGTTCTGATTGTGATTTGTGTTTGGTATAAATACAAACATGATTTTAGAGTTTTTGGGAGTTGAAAAGGGGTTTGTTTTGTGCACAGAAAAAAGAGTTTTCTGAGTAATTTGTTTAGGGTTTTGTTTGAGAGGTTTGTTTGAGAGATTATGAGTGATTTTATAATCTCAGTTTGTACTCTTCTTCTCTATTAGTGAAAATTCATCCCCTTCTTGCCCTGTGGATGTAGGCAACTTGCCGAACCACGTAAAATTCGTTTTTTATGTTCGTGCCGTTATTTTTTATTGTGTTTGGTCTTCTCTCTCAGCGTTTGTGTTTGCCCTCTGAACCCCCAACAAGTGATTTCAGCACAACATGGGCTATATCCTCAAGCCCTGAGCAATAGCTGACAGACCTTCTTTCAAGTTATTTGTGCTGTATTTAACATTTATATAGTTAATTCCAAGATCGATTTAGATGAACTCGCTATTCTGTCAACTACAAGTTCCTACAAAATTCGCGCACAATCTGAATTCACTTTTAGTCGTGAAATCCTCACATAAGAATTTTTGTTTCTTGTATTTTACTTGGGAGGCAGGTAGTCTGGGAGCCTTTGGAGCTGTCCAAACCATGAAATGCTAACATCTTCTCTTTACCTGTCATCTAGAGATGTAGTCTTAAAGTTTCAATATTGAGGTCTCTTTAGTTAACAGGTGTGCTTGACAGAGTCAGGTGAGCAACGGAGCGCTACTTAAGACAACTGACAGCTGAATTCAAAAGGACTTGGAGCAAGAGACTGTTGAATCTCTGCCAGAATTCCAAAATAAGGAAATTGGGTTCAGGTATTGCTGTGACAAATAATTTGGTCTCTTGTTTACTTTTCTGTTAGTTAACTTTTTCCCCCAATGAGGAGACTGTTCTTGCTTTTGGCTAGTACATCGTTGTTGATATGATAATTTTATGGCATATGTGAATTTTGATGCAGTGTAGGTGCAAACACATGTAAATTGGTTAAATTTGTTATCTGGCATGAACCCAACATTTTACATGATTTATGTGCATCGGTGCAATGTATCATCATATCAGGGCTATTGCCATCCATGGCATGCAGTGAATATGTAGGTTGAATTTTTGTTATCAAGTATTTTAAAAGCACCGTCATTATTTCACAGGCCTCTCTCTTTTTTTATTGATCTTGTTATATTTTTAATGTAAAAGTTTACTTCTGCAGAGAAAATGATTACACGAACTTATGTTGGTTTTCATTCTCGTCTAATCGTCTTCTTTACAGAGTATAAAAATTCACTCGTTCTTGTAATATTTTCCTCTTCTTTAGACCAGAGTGAAAAATCACAGAGAATTCTCTTTTTCTCTTTTCCCTTTCGGGGAACATAATAACCTCTGCAATTTAACAACTCTCAACGTAAGAGGGATATTAGCATTAAGGTCCTTAAGAATATGTGATTCTACACAATATACCTCCTAACATCATAACATTAGTCTAAAAACTCCCTATTTCTCATCTCAAAGCACATAACAACCACAACTACTGCTGCTGCTGCTGCTTCTGATCTCCAAGCAAAAGAGACTTGACAATTTCGTCAGGCATGCCATCTTCAAGCAGAAACATATGCCCAGATTCTGGCAACTCATGATAATGAACCCAAGGCAACTTCTGGCCTATATACTGGGACGAGAGAACCGGCACTATTCTGTCCTCTGCACCATGCCACAAATGAACCGAACCGTCACCATTAGGAAATGGGTCGTCAAGCTCCAGCGGATCAAACTTCCAGTTACCAAAACCGACCATCATGTCTCTGTGGAGTGAGTGGTACTCTCCTTGTTGCAGTATTTGCCCCTAACCAAATAAAGAAACATTTTCGTGAAAAAGATCGAAATTTTCTAAGTATGCATCATTCAGCTACTGTGAAATTGAAGACAAAATTCCATAGGATGGTTATATGACCAGTCTCTATGGATAAGAACGTTGGACAGTATTAGCTGGCTGGATTACTATGTTGGTAATCCATCCTTTTTCTCAAAAAAAAAAAAAAAAAAGAACGTTGGACAGTTAATAAACAATTTGTGCAAAAGATAAGTTAACAAAAATGGGAATGTCACCATTGAGTTGTAGGTATACACTAAGAGATTAAATAAGAAATAAAGTGCGTACATAGGGGTTACATGTTGCTTCTTTTAAAGTATAAAATGAGAGAAAACCAATTGAGATGGTTTCACCGCGTACAACTAAAGTCACAATGTGTACCAATTTGGACAAGTTATTGTTGACGTGACAAATAGGACTCGAGCTGCATAACTTTGCTGGAAGCAACTAGAAAGGATTTAGCAATGACTAAAGGCATAGTAGATAATAATCTTATACAGAATTGAACAGGAGAATATGGATCATATGATCCATGTAGCCTACCCCAGAAATTTAGGATAAACGCTTTTATTATTTTTGTTGTTATAGAAGGGAATCATACCATGTAGTGCCCTCTAGCTGAGAACTTGTGCATGACCTTCAAGTCACCAGGAGAGAAAAGTTCAGGACGCATAGCTATTACGCCTGAAGAGGAAAACCATTTCTTAGTGTTCCACCAGTACGTCAACCACGGGACGTAATGTGCAACTCCGACAGCCAATTTATCATGAAGAGTTTGCTGGTTCCAGGCGGCTTTGGATACATTGGCAGGAAAGTTTGGCCACCAGAAGTTAGAAACTGGTCCGAGGAGCGCTGCACCTTTAAGCCTGCAATTATTCAAGGAAGAAAAAACAAAGTGAAGGATATTATAGATCAGATACAATTTGCAATACTTAAAAAAATTCTCAATTCATGAACAAAACCCAAATGTTCTTTTCTCTGTATATGTGAGGTTTATGTTTTCATCTAAAGATACTACGTAGTATATAGTTTTGAGTAATACCTATGAGGAATATATTTGAGGCAACCCCAAACAACTTCTCCTCCCATTGAAAACCCAATCACATAGAATTTAGATCCTAACTGCAGCTGATCAGCAAGTTCTTCAATATCCAGGGGTGTGCTTTTCTCAGTTTTCTTCGTGTCGGGATCACTTTCTCCATATCCTGCTCTGTCGAAAGATACCAAGTATATCCCCAGTTCTTCAAGCACTTGCTGGAAAAAATCACCACAGTTAGCTAAATTTTCTGGTAAATTCCACAAGCCCCATGAATGTTCGGGGGTTTCGCACAAACACCTAACGAACTTTGAAAATCAGAAAAGGGAGGCAAAAAAAACTACTAAACTTTCGGAGGGTTTCAGAAGACTTCCGAACTTTGGAGAAATTCCACCTCATCGGAGCAAATTACAGTTTTATCTATATTTCAGTTTGTGGAACTCCCGAAGGTTCAGGGCGCTTTTGTGACATATTCTACAAAAACTAGGGTGCTTTCATCTATTCTTCAAAGTCTAACCAGGGTGTTGTGCAGAACTCGATCCCCAGAGCTGAGGTTTTCTGGAAATTTGCTCTAAAATTTATTGATATTATCAATGTAGACACCATGACAAGATAAATAGAGAAGTTATTTTACCGGTGATATAGGAAGGTGATCGTATCGACATGAGTAGAAACCATGAACAAAGATAATCTTGTGGTTAGCATTTTCTTTTGGGACACCAGTTTCTAAGTAAGCCAAGTGTCTTCCATCTCTGAGCTTAATTCGAGATGCAGTGATTGGAGGGCCATTTGGTGATCCACAAATCTTAGGTGGCGGAGGTTGAATTGCTTGATACGTTGTCCATGATGCTAAAGCCACCAACAAAATTGCTGATAATTTGTTTATGATCCCTGAAATGCAAATCTTGATGATAAATCATTTGAGGAAAAGGGCATTGGTAATGTGACATAGCTTGACACATGATGTGTAATTATTTCACTGGTACAAGATGAGGCATGCTAGACGGAAAATTCCATCTAGGAAAATCATATTTCCATCTAAGCAGACTATTTCAGACGGAATTCCGTCTACAATGCTCGTCTAGTAAGTTTTTGTCTAGGATGCAGTATTCTAGACGGAAATTCCGTCTAGAAAAACATCCTAGACGGAAAAATATTCTAGACGGAACGTAAAACCGTCTAGGATAATCCTAGACGGATAAATATTCCGTCTAGAATGTTTCCTAGGGGGGAATTCTGTCTAGGAAGCATCCTAGACGGAATTTCCGTCTAGGATGCTTTAATTCATCCCAGACGGAATTTCCGTCTGGGACGTATCCTAGACGGATTTTCCCAATTCAGCTTTTACATTTGTTTTTCCCTATTCATACGATTTTACCATGTAATTACATAAATTACCACCTGTCATTATCAGGTAAAATTTTAAAGGTTAATTTGCAAATAGCCTCCTCAGTACATTGTTGTTTTGAACTTACCACCCCTTTAGTTTTGTTGTTGCAGATGGACCCCTCAAGTGAACATTTTGGATTATTTTATCTAGATGGTCTATTTTTCAAAAAAAAGAAAACAGTTATCCCTTTCTTTGATGGAGTTAAAAGAGTCAAAAGAACTTTAATCTCAACAAGAAATTAATAAGAGTATGGATAGTCATCATGCACAGTGCCAACCGTAGGGTTCCCTAAAAGTTCACTGAGAATAAATCGTTTCATGAAGAAAGGAGTTAGGGTAATTTTGAATTCTTGTATGGACTTTGGATGAAATATTAAACCTCTATTTTATTTATTATCACTATTATTTTCGGATATTGATATCCTGTACAGACTGAGATTCTTATCCATAACCACGTACGTGTAGGAAACAATTCTTTGTAAGATCTGAAGACATTTCGTTTTCTCGGCTGTAGTCGTTTCATTGAAGGTCAATTACACTAAACCGCAAGAACTTTCAACGTTTCGCAATGAACCCCCAATAACTTTCAAAATTGTACTAAACCGCCAATAACTTTGGAATTGCAGAAAATTTCCACTAAGTTTTCGCAATTTTGCAGATAACCCCATGAATAAGAAAAAAAACATAGAAATACATTTTGAAAGTTACTGGGGGTTTATTAAAATTTACTCAAAAAATATTGAGCGTTTTCTGCAAAAGTTATTTGGGGTTTAATGCGATTTTGAAAGTTATCATGGGTTTACTGCAATACACTAAGAGTTCTTGGGGTTTAGTGTAATTTGCCCTTCATTAAACTTTACCAAACACATACATTATTCTCAAAAAATTAAACACAAACATCTATTAGAGGCTACAAGCCTACGACTAATTGGATGAGCAGAAACATCTCTATGATCCAGAAAAGAAAAATAAATGAAGAAGGACTTTAAGAAGAACAATGAGCCTGAAAATTAAATTAAAATGAATTCATGAAAATGAGAGAAGACCAATAAGTTAAAGAATCAATAAACCAACAAAACTAGAGTGCATTGTTAGTCCCCAAAAAGAACATAGGGTTTTCTGAGAAAATTACCAAAAGATGATGATGATTTTTTAGGCGTTTGGTCTATTGTCGGAGATCTCACTGAAGCTACTGTCATTTTTGCTCCAAGCTCTCTCTGCTCTCTCTCCCTCTCTCTCTCTCTCTACCAATATTAATAGAAGATAAAATCTTCTAGAAGATGGTGACACGCATGCGACTGAGACTGACTCTACATTCATTACTTAATTAATTAATAATGTCGTGAGAAATGAGAGTTAATTCTTAACTCTTACGTATCCAAATCTAAAAGAGTCCAATATTATTGGTGGTTAGTTTAGCTGCATGAAACTTGAAATGTTATTGGTGGTTAGTTTTAATTTCTTAGGGGCTGTTTGGTTCGGGGCCAAAAAATATATATATATAACTCCCCTGTACCAAAAATTTCATGTTTAATTCCTTTTGAAGAAAGTCATATCTCTATTATTTTTACCATCCCATGTACCAAAAAATTCATGTTTAATACCATTATTTATACCTTCATGTGTATCGGTATTTAAAACTTCAGGTACCGTTTGGCAAAGGGTTAAGTGAAGGGTTAAGGAGATTTAACCCCTTCTTAACCTGTCAAACACAACAAATCTATATAAGGGTTAAAGTGAGTTAACCCTCCATAATTTGCCAAACATAAAAAAATATAGAAGGGTTAAGTTAACCCCTCTAGAGAGGTTAAGATGAGTTAACCCTTCAAAATGAGGGGTTTACTAATACTCCTATTTAGATGGAATAAGAGTTAACCCTTCTAATTATAAAGAAAATAGTCAAAATCATTGTTATTCCCAAACACTAAAACTGATCATAAGGGCTAAAATAAAACTTATTTAACGGGTTAATAATTTAGTCTTTTGGATTATCAAATGGGCTAAGTACGTTAATCCTTCTCTTTAACCTCTCTTCATTAACCCTTTGCCAAACAGGGCCTCAAAGAATAACATTACCTTGATACACATTGCTAGCTTGCGACGTAATAGTTCTCTTTTAAATAGGGTAAACTACACTAAAGCCCCAACAACTTTCAGCATTTCATAGTAAGCCCTCAACGACTTTTAAGATCGCACTAAACCCCCAATATCTTTTGGCGAAGTTACACTAAACCCCCCAGTAACTTTCAAAATGTCTTTTCATGTTGTTTCCCGGTTCTAATTTATGGGGGTTATCTACAGATGCAAAAAACTTATTGGGGGCTATCTGCAAAATGAAAAGGCTATTGGGGATTTGACGTGATTTTGAAAGTTATTGGGGTTTAGTGCAAAATGCTGAAAGTTCTTGGGATTTAGCCGTAATTCACCCTTTTAAGCATCGTAGACATTGGAAACCGAGACAAAATTCAACAGTCAGTGTTTCAAAGGGAAACGGCGAGCAACTCTTCGTCAGATAAAGTTGAAGAAACTTTAGGCTATAAAGGTACTAGTTTAGTGAAAGCCGACAACTTTTTATTTTCTTAAACATCACGAATCAGACAATTTTATTGTTAATCTTTTGATACATCATGAATCACAAGCACTTCAGGTTAGTGTCACATGTGGAGTAGTTGAATCTACGTAACGATTGAAAGTGTAATAAAAAGAAAACTCTTCTATGTGCCCAAATGCTTAAAATGTTCGTAACACGTTTTGCATGAAATATATAATTGTTTGAGATGTTTGTTTCCGTTCAATTACATCTTTTATACTGAACAACATTGAAGAGCAATAAATTAGATGCTTATATTATGTATTCGGGTAGATTTGTTGAATTGAGGGGTCCGACACTCAATTCTCATAATTATCATGCTCCCAACCACTAACTTTCTTAACTTCTCTGTCGTGTGAACCATAATTGCTACATCTTAGTAAGTTGGACTAAGTCCCTTATTTCTAGAAGAGGGAAAAGTAATAAAAGAAGTAAATAAATAAACACACAGTAAGTAATAAGCCGCGGCCTACAACTATTTTGGCGAACATTTATGACTGGATTAAATATACGAGATCAGACATGAATAATTCAGCTCATGCTTTCTTGATGAATATCTTCTGTTACCAAAATTGAAACGGCCGAAAGCGGCAATGACATCATATTAGGTGGGAGGAGTCTTCAGTTGAAAATATTTTTCGGCCTTGAAACTTGGAACTGCGACGGTGCCATTAGCATGGGTCTTCAGATTAGGTGAGGGTTGTCTTCAGTTGAAATGAATCTATTGATATTATACTTTTATTGCGGTAAACATTCTAGATACTCAACAGAAATTTTGGGACCGTTATATATCATATATATTCATATATTCATTTGCGGTCCGGTGACGCCAATCCCTCTGTCACTTTAGCACCTGGACGCAAAAGGCTTGGAGTGGCTGAATTTGAGGTTCATTCGGGACAGACCCCTGTACTGTCGCCCAACCGCATGGAGATTCCCCTCTATTTCTACTATTGCAGATAGACCCCTGAGTGAAATTTTTGACCCTTTACCCTCACCCTCAGAGAAAGAGAATAACATTTTCTGGCTGACAACTTGAAGGTAAAAGAGTAGGATTTCCCACTAGTTTGGAATGTCTGCAACAACAGAATTACAGAGGGCCTATCCATAATTGAGCAATAAAACAGGGGTCTACTCAAGATTACCCTTGTTACAGTGTAAATTTCATTAGGAAAACACTCTAGTCTTGGACGGACCAGCGTCAATCCTTTACAACTCCTATTAACATGAAATGACCAGAACAGCAACATTCTATTGGCCGACGAGCATCCTATATCTGGCATGGTGCACCTGTAGCCCATGGACAAACTACACTTGATACTTTCATTTGCACTCAGACATGCAACTCATATATGAATAGGAGCTAGTTTCCCTTCATGATAAATGCACAATCAGTTCACATTTCAACTTGCAATTCAAGTTTCTTCATAACCAAAATTACACTTCCGAGACCTTAGGTTTCCTTTGTTTTAGCAGTTATTTGATCCTTCCGAAGCCATATGTTCACAAGAAATGAGTCGATAATTATCTGCAGAGTGAATTAATTCAAAGAGAGTAACTAGAAACAGAAACACCACAAGAAACAATAGGAAAACTGAGCGAATATATGATTCACCTGATTAATGTGTGAAGCGACACATGGAAGTATTAGCAGACCTGGTTCTCCTAAAGCTCCCTTGAGCTGATCCACAACAGCTACCATCACAGGCAGAGTTTTCTACAAGACAATATGCATATGTATGATTATCTCCAGATTATAAAATGGAATATGAAAGAGGTTACTATTACCAGGACTTAAGCGATATGCATTTTTTTCCCTTCTCATGGCAATGAGGTGAAATTATGAGAGATTAGAAGAAGGATAATCCTTCAAGCAGCATTCAGAAAAGATTGCAAGCAAAGCTGCTAAAGAAGCACCAAAACAACCCTAGCAGGCAAGAGATACTACTATATTTGATATCAGCTAAAAATATGCCAGGATTGAAAGAATGTAAGAAAGAAAGAAATAAGGGGTAAAAAAAAGGGGACCTGCTGCCAGTTTTTCATCAGAAGAAAAGAACCCAGGATACAAGGATAGGTTGCAACTAGAAGGATTTATCTGTTCCAGCTTCACAATTATGACAGACAAATCCTAATTTTTTTTAATATAAAAACTACCATATATCTAAACAGTTATTATCTTCGTGACAGTGATTATCTTGTAAGTTGACTGTGCACGTAGTGATTATCCTCATGGAATATCTAAAACAATAGCTATTGGCTTCATCCCTTAGACCACCAGGTTTTAATCTTCCTAAGGAACCACACATTGTCTCATGAAATATAATGTATGGTACAAGTTAAAACATGTATATGTCATGAGTCATGACCTTATTCTCAACAAAAAGGTATCCCCCATGACCCTGATTTGTTTTTCTCATAACTTACTTTCTATAGGTGTTATCTAAAACTTAATTAGAAGGAAGCAGAAGCATGCATACAGACTAACCTGGCTGGCAACAAGAATAACAGCTCGTGAATTTTCTTTCTTTGAAAAAACTGATTCTTTACCATCAGCCAGTGCTGAGAGTATCTTTACCAGAACGGTATTGAAGGCCAACAGAGTAAGATGTAGCAGTCTGCAACAAAGAGAGAATACATAGTTAAGATTCCAAAGAGAGACTGCATTTGCTTTAAGAGAGAATACATAGTTAAGATTCCAAAGAGAGACTGCATTTGCTTTAAGATTTCGAGCAGACTTTAGATTCCAAAGAGAGACTGCATTTGCTTTAAGAGAGAATACATAGTTAAGATTCCAAAGAGAGACTGCATGGTGTGCAAAGGTAAATAAGTTTAAAAAGCCCATGTGTTGTTAGCTTTGATGGATAATACAACTTTCCTAACTGCATCATAAGTTCATACTACATTTGACATTGACCAAATCATTTGTAGAACATCCTTCACATAATGCATACCAACATTAACATGCTTGTCTAGGTCAATAGACATAATTACTGTGAATACATGCATCCAACACCTCCCTTAAAAAACAATAAACTTTGAATAATTTCTGAAACAGACAGTTCACTTTCTGATGTTACTAAGGAATGGTTAATCAGGACTCCAATAGATCATCTTCCAGGTGGCAAAAGGGTAAGCTAATGACATTCATACACCATCTCCTTTTCTGCACACTGTTAACGCTTGAAAAACATGCCTTAAAAAATTGAGAAAAATTCACTAGCCCTGGTGTAAATTATAAATGCTAAGTTAATTACGAAAGGGTAAAGCTCCGAAATTCTAACACTGTCTCCCGTTTAGCAGACTGTTAATGGTTGGAAAACAAGATTCAAAATTTTGAGGAAAAAATTCACTGGTATTGGCATAATAATAATAACTGCAAACTACTTCATATACAGAAGAAGGTCAATGTGAAAATAATCTACAAGAAAAACAAAAGGATGTGAGACTCTAGAAGTTTAATCAAACACAGGGCAAACCTCTATCGACATAGCAAGTGGTATGATATAAGATGGCGATAGTAAACCAGCAGACATAAAAGCATGGTAACTGACTGATACACATCGATAAGGCAGTAAAGAACTACTAAAATAATGGAGAACTGTAAACTAATCGGTCCCCGTTTATAATGAGTAAATAAGAAAACAATGGCATTGCTGCCATTAAACTCCATGTATCTTATGCCATCAACTTTCGTTCCTAGAAAATCATCAAATTGTGTTTGTTCTCTACTGGTAATATCATGTTTAAAAGAAGGCAGCCAAATTTTCATATTGTTTGTTCTCTACTGGTAATATCATGTTTAAAAGAAGGCAGCCAAATTTTCATATTTAGATGAAAGAAAATAAGATGGATGTAACTGTTCTCAAGAACATTCAGATATCAAGCTGCATGGTATTAAATAATAAATATTAATAAAATAAAGAAAGTTCAGTTTGTGAAACACGTACAATCCCATGCTAATGGCAATAGCAAAAGCCGTGGGTGTAACTGTAAGGAATAGAGGCCTTGACTTGCTAACTTGTATCCATGGCACCTGAAACACAAGAAACAGAATAGTGCAGCTAAGAGAACATAAACCTAGTGTTTTGCCTTGAAATACATGCTTCAACTACAGAGAGCAAATGAATACAAGAGTTCTACTAAATAATATTGTGCAAGCAACAGATTGCAAGTGCTTGATAACTCAGAAGAGCAGTTCAATCTAAAAAAGTAAAAATTTCAAGGAGAATGTATACAGCAAATTTTTAACAGAAGGTATAAGTCGTACAAGACTAAGAAGAGCGGAATTCATCATTGAAAAGAATCGACGATTTCGATCAACATATTCTGCCACCCCTGAAACAAGAACATATTTATAGTTCAGAACATTGTGTCAACAACAGCGTGTAAAGGATTTATACAGCACTTTCTTACTTTGAGACATTCTTTACTGTGAAGCAGAATATAAGCAGTTATATAGGTGTCTCAAGTGTGCTTAGCAGCAACTTAGCATATCTTCTGTTTACCAGTTAGTCAGAATGTCCATGTGATTTATAAAACGATAACAATGCAAGTTTATGCTCCAACATATTCTAACAGTGGACAGACTGGATATGTCTGAACCTAAAGAGTAAGAAGTGAGGACTGAAGTGATACTGCTTGGTGAGATACCAACAAACACCTTAGTGAAGTAAACAAAATGTGATAAAAGTGAAGTAACATCATTCCATGGAAAGATTAAATAGGCTATGACAACTTCAGTTTAGAATCTACAAAAACCAATACACAAATAGTTGAACCTATTATTACAACTCTAATGATGAGTGGTAGTAAAATTTAAACGACAGAATCCACGCAAATAACCAGGACAAATAAAGTTACTCTACAAGAAGTGAAATTTTATGAGTCAGTTTTTACATATGCATCTGAATTGTCAAAAAAAAATCTCAATTATGTGATGCTCATATCTGAAAGTATCTCCGTCACTTCACCTCCAGTTTGCCGCTTTTGAAGGTGTGGCTTAACATAAGACTTCAATTTATCATCTTTGGGCACAGAGGAGGCCTAGTGTAGGCTCTTCTCCTTTGTTAAGCATCCCAACCATAAGTATAGATTATCAGGATAGTTAGTCCGAATCATTTTATAGTTTGTTTCTTTTCCCTTCCTCTTTTCAAGGAACCTTGAGTAAGGAACCTAAGGGCGGTAAGGACTCTTCTTAGTGGGCAGGCTCAAAGAGATATTGGTGACTCCATATTCCACAGTTTCCCATTTCCCATATATCATAGAAGAGAGGATGCAAGTGGCAAACACATGAACCATAGGGAGAACAAAGCTCAGTCCAGATTTGCATAGATCAAGATAATCCAGAATTGATTGATTTCCCAGATCAACACAATCCGAACAATAATACTACAAATTTTGCTGGACACAATCTAGGAAAAGGGAAAGACAACAGACTTCCCAGTATGGAATTATATTCAACCCTATATTATAGATAAGGCAAAGGAAAATATTTCCCAACATTTTAGTAAGTAATATATAAGCATTTGTTCAAGCAAAAGCAAAGCGGAAAAAATATCAGACTCACCCTCAAAGGCATCACGCAGAACCTGCAAACAAAAAGGCACAAAGTGAGATGTGTTTTTGTAGGATCAATAATATAATGGCAAGCATGGTTGGCATAGAATTATATAAAAGCGATATACAAGGTCCGCATACAACGCAAATGTTACATATTACATAAATTGTGAACAAGAACTTACCTAAAATTACAGACACACCTAAAAAAATATATAGAGCATCATTTTTGTAGAACTATTTTAAACAAATTCAGAAAGTTGAACATGTCCATGCCATAAAAACCAACAACTGAAATGCTGACAACGAGCAATTAGTCTATGCTTCACCGCATGATAGCATGGACATGGAGGGCAGCACAACAGAACAAAACACGTTAAAGAAAACCAACAACTGAAATGGTGACAATCAGCAAATAGTATATGCTTCACTGCATGATAGCATGGACAGGAGGGTAGCACAACAGAACACAACACGTTAAGAAAACGATAATGAAACAGCATAAAATATAGTGTTCGATGTGTTTTTGACAAGACATGGCTACACAATAAAGAGCATGCATGACTCCATATTTTGTTATAATCATTATAAACCATGTAGCCGAAGAAAAGAAGCTATATCATAAATTGGTATAACCCAACATTCCATTATAGTTATTTCTACAATTAATACATGTGAAATACTGCAGGCATTTTTCTCTTTTGCACAGGATAACAAAGCGGAGGAAAGGTATATATAAATTTAATGAATATGAGCATGATGTGTTGGCCGCAAATATAGTAGCATTAATATTGAAACTCATACACAACCCTTTGAAGAGATAGAGCTTGCCAATGTACCTTCCCCAGAATCAGAGGAACCAAAAGCGTCAAGATAAGGCTTTTAAACAATTCTGCTGTTGGGATTGCAACCCCAGCTCCAGCTCCAATGAATTTAGAAAGAGAAAAAGGTACCTGACAAAAAGATTAAGCTCAGGTGATACACAATTCTTACAGTACATGTAAATGGACAAGTGAAATACCAACCACCACAAAAAGACAGGACTATTTAAAGTCAGAAAGGGTCAGATATATTGAAGTGTCCAATTTAACCTGCTATTGTCTATTTCATAAATGTACAAATATGCAAACCAAAAACAGAGAGGAATCAGAAGAATTTAGAAAGACAGAAATTACCGGACCAACTAGAAATGAACTTTTCAAGGACAACAAATATTTTTGAGTCACCACTACCTTTTTGGCTTGATAGAATTCAACAAATGAGTTACGTAGGAAATTGGCGACAACAAAAACAGTGAATTTTCATAGCAAAAATATAATGTTGCAGTCAGCTCAGTTCTCCGTGTGTCAATGAGATATTATCATCAGCATCAACAAAGCCTTTAGCGTTTGACCTTTAATGAAGCAAGAGACTGCAGGCCTCCATTAAAAGACTGGAAAATTTCTAACCTGGCATCAATTTCAAAGGAGGTACTAAATTGTAGCCAAGAAATTAAGGCAAGAAAGGAGCTTGCCATAAATTCCAGAAGCCCACTCTGCTGATAGGATATCATGTTTTACAGTTATCCAGTTCAAGCTCATGGAACCAAGGAGCAGCCTTCAAAATTTTCCTAGATTGAAAAGGTCGAGAAGCCAGGAAGGATGATGCAGATGCTATAGGAAACTGTGTAACTGTGTTCAACTCTAAGGCACGAGATAAAACCAAAGTAGGATATAATAAAGATGGGATATAGATAGTCCCAATATCAGGATTAAAAAGATCACAGTTTCAATCTTTCTTTTTTCCTTTGCTTGCTCTTCCATAGTTACACCTGCATATCACATATGTGGATTTATCAAGTGTGAAGATGCGGTAATGTCAAAATTGTATCTATAACATATACTCCCTCAATTGTCACTCATCTGCTTTCCTTCTCAAAGCTCTTCACCTGTTACCCCTCTCTCATTTAACAAAAAGATTTCAACAATGATAGATGGGTAATGCTGGAGATTTTCCTCCAGGATTGTTAGTAACATATATGACTAAGTGATGTAATGACAATGAATAGATAATATCAATGATATAAACAACAAAAGTGACACCAAGCGAAAAAGATAAGATGATATACATGGAATAAATCATATGCATTCAAGTAATATGCAGTGAATTACTGGGATGAAAATACTACCAGTGAAATATACACATATTACTTGGTTTGATATTATAAGGACATATGGTTCATCATTACACATCAATCTGAAAATGTGCGCAGATTTTGACAGAGTAATAAGCAAAGAGTTATAAGAAGAAAGAGAAAGGCTGAATGAGTTGTGGGAAGGTAAAGAAAAGAAAAATTAAGGTATGGATCCATTTTTCTCTTTTAAAGAACCCTAAAGGGTGTAATACAAATATCATTTCGAACAGATTAAATTTACTGCTACAGTTTGTTCTGTTCAATTAAAATATAATAGTGAACACTTTAATGGGTCAGTCATCATTTATCAACAAAGCACAGCCTTCTTAGGCGGATTCTATCTCACAGTATTAGCTAACAAAATCTGAAACAAGTAAAACTAGAGTGAGGCATCTCTTACATCTGAGAAATATTAAACCACAGAAAGTTTTATTTCAATTGTTTCAACATAAATGGATAGGTTTATAAGGCAGACCAAATAAGAGAAATCTTATCTAGATTATTCGCCATAAATGGATAGACCGATAAAGTTTTTCATGTACCATCATCAGATGAAGATGAGAAACATGTTGCTTGACCATAGTTCTGTTGTTAATAACCATGCCTTCAGCAGCATGGCATCACAAAATATTTAGTAGCATACATGCAAGGCCATTCAAAAATGTATATAGAAAGTTGAATAGAACTTACAAAAATGATGCCTAGTAAATTGGAGATTACTGTCATTGCGAGAGCAAGGGCAGAATTCCCCCCAACAAGCTGCAAGTAATTCAGTTATTGACTCATACTATATCTTACTAGGGGAAGAAAGCAGTTCAAAACAGAGAAAATAAAGAAATGGAATGAAAAATTCAGCTTACATTTGTCAAAGCAACGCCACTTGACAATGTTGTGGGCATGCAGCAAAAAATGGCTAATCCTGTTGCACAAATTTTAGGAGTTATGAAGCAACATGGAGAAAGCTGTAATATGAAGTTTACCGTACAAACAAAAAAGTGTAAAAAATAAAAAAGTGAATGAATAAGAAGACAAATTAATGTAAGTTGTTAGAATGTCCACAAACCTATGACAAATTCTGGAGGATACAACTGAACTTGTAATATGAGTCTCGAAACAAGTGGACTGAGAAACAGAATCGTAACCTACATAGACAAGGAAAAGAGATATTGCAATGATTCACAATAGTAAGATGGTTAGGGAATGGCAGAAATAATACCCGAAAATAGAAACAATAAATCAAATAAGAATTAAATCATATGAATATAGAGATGATCATTTATTGTAAAAGTACCATGTACAATAAAGGTAGAAAGTGAAAGGGAGCATAGATAGTATGCCAGGTAAGGAAGAACGCAGGCATTCCAAAAACAACATAAAATATATCATGTGATTTCGACGGTCATAGGATACAAAAATCAAATAAAGAGAAGTGTGTGCTTTGGCTAAATACAAAGTTTGAAATATCGTCACCCTGGGAAAAGGGATGAAGGAGGCATGTGACCTACTCCATCACATAGAAGTATGAATTACATAAGAGAATTATTGATGCAAAATCTGCACCCTGAGAAAGGCCTAAATAGCAGTTATAAATATTCGTTGACAGGGATAGATGAGCTATGGCTCTTTATCGAAAAAAACTTACAAGGATCACCACCATAGATAACCCTGTCTATAACTCGTGCTCCAATGAACCTGAAATGTCTGTCAAGTACAGCCCACAACCTATGAGTAAGAACTTGTTCATAGCCATCTCACAGAGGCACCACAATTTCTAAGTTATCTCTGATAATAATGCTGAAGTATATCCATTCCAGTTGCTCTAGCCATGCAAGGTAAGCTTCCCCCAAAGTTAAGTAAAAGTATCCATTTCATGCACACAGAGGTAGCACTGCGCCCTGCGATGTCAGATTGATGGACATCAAGCTAATGGTGTCACATGGCAATAGCCACCCAAAAGTTACTCTATGCATTCATCAATCTGATTAGTTTCTTGCCCATTACCAGCAGTAAATTCTATCCTAAAATCATGATGGTAACTCCAGTAACTGCAACCAAACAAAGCTCAAGAAATTTTCTTCATGGATGGTCTAACAATGTACTAATGCAGTACTACTTCGCTAAGGCAATGACAAATCCCACCATAATCCCAAGATTCCAAATGATATGAACTAATGTCTACTTGTACCCCCTCAAATTGTATCCCTACCACCCCCTCCCCCGCCAAAAAAACACCAGAAAACGCATGTATGTATACGTTATTTCTTGAATATTTTACTTTCATGCCATGCCACTATGTATGCTTAGTGATGGGTTACACTCATCGACTAGCAGATGGTATGGTACCAACATCACACCTGAAACAAGAGACATGGCGAGAGGAAGATGATTAATATAACTTATTTATTGCTTTTCTTGGCCTAGTTATCACAACTTATGACTATTGTGACATATGACTTATTTCGATTATTATGTACTTTGTGGCTTGTGTTATTCCATAGGGTTTTTTAGGCATTAGTCCCATAAATCTTCAATAGTTGCATATTAGTCCCACAAATCTTAGAATTTGCATATTAGTCCCTTAAGTCTTCAATAATTGCATAATAGTCCATCAAATCCTATAGAGTCTTGCTAAATGGTCCCTCAGTTAGTATTTCAGTTAAAAAACTTAATTATGATTGGATTAACTCCTAACCCAAAATCAGCATTCACTAAACTACCCATCACTCTGATGTTTCAAACTTTTGTAAAGCTCAACTTTGGGTAGGGTTTTTTGCTAACCATTGGAGAAGAAGAACTCAAGCAAGTTTGGATTTATTTTAAGTTGGTATTGGGTTTAAACCTATTAAGAAATGGATTGGGAAACATTACAGAGGGGTACAACCATCAGATTTGACGGAATATTAATCTCAAATCTAACGTGATATAATTTGAAAGACCATTTTGAAAGATCTTGTAGGATTTGAAGGACTAATATGCAATTATTGAAGATTATAAGGGGCTAACATGCAATTTCCATGATTTGAGGGACGAATATTGAATTCTTAAAGATTTAAGGGACTAATATCTAAAAACCCCTACTCCATATGAAGGAATTACTTATTTAATTATGTTTAACCATGTTCTGATTGTTTATTTATAACATGTTTAAAAATTAACGATGCTAATTAAATCTATCATTCTTTAACATACGCCAAACAACGACACTTCTTGTACACTCCCTACACCACACTTCTCACATGTTTCTTTCTTTTCAACTATATTATTAATTTCAAGTTTCCAAAAGTAAGACATAGCCTGATGCAAGTAAGACACATACCTAGACATCTTGTACTATCTCAAGAGCTTGTGCTATAATGGATTTACTGGAATCTTACTGCATAGTTCTTCCTCACATGTTCTACATTCCTCCAACACTTTTTTCTTACTAACTGTAAAACCCCGTAAATTTGAATATTTTATGATAAATAATGATAAATATGTTATATGGTGAAAAATATTTGAATATTTTATGATAAATAATGATAAATATGTTATATGGTGAAAAATAATATATTTTGATGTTTGGATATGAATGATAAATATGTTATATGGTGAAAAATAATATATTTTGATGTTTGGATATGATAAGAATTGATTTGAAATCAATTCAATATATATTTGTGAAAATATGAGTGCAAATGCACAAAACATGCATAAAGACCAAAAGAGTGAAAATCTGGGAATAATAATCAGTTATGAGTTTTTATGTTTTGCACACCGATGCAGTTAGAATTTGGAAAAGTGTAAAAGACCAAAGTTGTAGGTCTCTTCAACAGCTTTCCAACAAGTCTTAGATCACCTCATTCTGAGGTCGGATGAGAAAGTTACAATCAAAATACCGAAGGGGTATTTTCCTAGTCAGACTAGATTTCCTGGTTCGGGTCTAACAGGTTTGTTTCAGGTTTGCCTCTATAAATACCTGTATTTTTTCACAAAAATTCCTTTCTTTTATCATATCTAAGAACCCTAACAGCCACCAAACCCCCATAAACCCTATTTTGAATTCTTAGAGAATATTGGAGGCTTTCAAGTTGGGTTTTTGTTGATTTTTGGCTTTTGGAGTGGAGATCTCCTTCGACGTTGCTTCTAACAAGTTTTTCCTTCAACCCCAGGCGAGTATCATCTCTACTAATCCCCCTCCCAATTTTTAAAATATTTTTGAAGAGTTTTTAATGAGTTTTATAGAGACTAATCAATTAATTTGTGTATAAAAATTGGAACTTTTGTATATATGTATAAAGACTAGGTCTTTTCATGTTAAAGAGATTAAGCACGAATTTACAGAAATATTTTAAGATCTAAAAATAATTTAAATATTGTTTATCTGAATTTAGATGTCTTATTCTTCGTTTTAAAGTTTCGTGCATGATTGAAGGTTTACATATGATTTCTTGTGCAAATAATCATGCTTGTTATGTTCTGTTGAAAATCTGCTGCACATATATACTTTTGAGCTAGAAATTTAAAATAACAAATGAAATCCAAATTGAACCAAACTAATGCCAATTGAAAGATATGTGAATCTAGTTTTCAAAACAGAAAACCATACCTAAAAATAGTTTTCCTAGAGAAAGATATGCTCATTTTACTGATGATATATCTTGCAGAAAATCTGCTGCACATATAAAATGTTTGACTGGAAATGAGAAATATCATATGAACTCCAAACTGAGCCAAATCAGTGTCAAATGATAGCTATGTGAGTCTAGTTTCCAAAACGAAAAACTATTCTTAAAAAAAGTTTGTCCAGAGAAAGATATTCTCAATTTACTAATGATATGTTCTGCAGAAAACTGCAGATGTGCTGATTTGAAATAAATTGATATATTACGTAAATGTTTTCTTGAGTTTTGCTCTTGTTTGTTATTTTTGAGAGAGTTTCTCAATCTTGTACTGTTATATTATAATGATTAAGAGTTGTTTAATACATGGGATGATGGTGAACTTCAGATGTGGACATGCACACCAAGATTTGTGCATGTATGCTATATTGTGTTAGATTGACACACTTTTGACACGAGTTAAATTGATAAACACATATGAATAATGATGTTTTACACGTATCCGGAAATAGGAAGATGAAACCTATTTGCCGCAGAACGATTGAGTAAGAGTATTACAAAAGTATCGTTAATTCATGTATCCGGAAATAGGGAGATAAAAACCTATTTGCCGCAGAACGATTGAATAAGAGTATTACAATAGTATCGTTATTTCATGTATCCGAAAATAGGGAGATAAAACATATTTGTCGCAGAATGATTGAGTAAGAGTATTACAAGTTTACAACAGTATCGTTATTATATGTATCCGGAATAGGAAAATAATAAATCCTATTGCCGCAGAGCGATTGAGTAACGAGCATTACAAAAGTATCGCTATAGTACAAGATGATGCACACATAGATAATTGATCAGTTGTAAGTTTTACTTCCCAGATAGATTGCCCGCGAGTAGGGTATTTTTCCTTTGAGATTTTGATACACCCGTTATGGATGGCAGATATATTTGTTTTAGCTTAGTTGGTATCCTCTTATATTAGAGCAGGTCACTCGGACGTAATTCGAGATAAGATGATTATTCTTTATATTAGAGATTGGAGTATTTATCATTGATTATTTGTTTTTCATTCATAGAGAGTTATATGAATGATTTGATATATGTATGTACTGACTCTATTTTCTTATATACTCCTACCCCTTCCCCTGGGGAGAGGTAGTGATGATCTCGCTAGCGCTTTGACGCTCGTTGTTTTCCCCCTTTCAGGCAGCAAGTTTGGCGCACGGAGAGTCACAGGTTGATGGGTCTTCTTAGTTGTCCATTTAGTTACCTATCATATTTTGTAGTTATTGTAGAACTCCACATGTAGTTGATTATTTTCAGAATCTAGATTGGTATTTTGTTTCATAGAGTTGAGAGCTATTGTGAGACTTTGTTTATGTGACTCATTGTATTCGAGATTCAGTTCAGACTCAGAGATATGTCTATTTTATTCCAGTTGGGCTCATTATTGATTTTTCTTATGCTTCTTATGTGTATATCCAGTGTTGTTCTATTTCTATTTTTACCTGTCTGTACCTTCACCTATTTATTGTTTCCACTAGAGAGATAGTGATTGTGATGGTGAAACTTGTCATAGCATGGTGGTTGGTGCTTGGCAGGTTTGACAATCCGGGTTTTATCTGGGACTGCAGCCTTATATGAACCCTGGGGCGTCACAGTTGGTATCAGAGCCCTAGTTTCAGCATCCTTAGGATCATTCCTGTGTCAAATTGTGGAGCTAGGATAGAGTTTTCTAGGATTCACGTATAGAGTCCGTTAGGAATTCCTAGAATGAGTGAGGACGATATGTGCGTATATCTTAAAATTTCAAAAAAAAAAATTATGACAATTGTTTTATGTTGATTTAAAGTATTTGCGTGAATACTATATGTTATGAATACGTATTGTGATATGTTATATATATATATGTATATATGTTTGAGATCTCACTTATTATGATCATAAGCTCTCCTCTCGATATTATAAATGTTGGAGCGAGAATACAGTCGAGATAAAACTCATACCCGGAGAGCTGGGCAAGCAGAGTCCGAGCCGCAGCACACTCCACAGTATTTGATCGACTTT